CCTTACACTCACCTTTTGCTTTTGTCAATTTGCACAACCCTAAAACTAATTGGATAATATTGGAATCTAATATGAGACCAACATAAAAAAGAAGCAGTAAAGGAATGAGAATATCACAGGATTTTCTACATGTTTTAGTGTGCAGTAAATTTGTATATAGCCTCCTGTGCCATTTTTTTTTTTTCTTTTTTCTATGGACCACTTTTTGCTTTAGTTATAGCAGCAGGTTTTTTGTGAGGGTTTCTATCAGTTTTGCTCAAATATTGACTAAAAATTACTGCTCTGCTCTTAATGAAACATTACCAGAGCTCAGTTAGATGAATAGGAAGAACCTGAAAAATAAAGTCTTGCCATAGATTCTTAGTTTCATTTAGGGCTGGACTTTGACTTGGTCATTGAAATATGAATATGCTTTTACATTACTTTTTACATGCTTAGGGTTGGTGAAAGGCAAAGCCTCCACCACGTGCAAAAGTGGTGTGGCCATCCTATTCCAAACTGGATTTGGTGCACTAGAAACAGACTGAAATCCAAATCGGCCCCAAAACACTAATCCAAAGCACAAAGCCTTGGTCAGCCATATTAAGGACCGTCCCAAATCATGCAGGTAGCGTGAGTGGACCTTTCAGCTATTAAAAAGTGAGTTTGCATCAGTGCACTCGCTGGAATTTGGCAGCGGGTGTAACTGCGACCAATTGGTGAAGGAAACGCATGCATTCAAATGTAAGTTCCTTTGGTTTGCTGCATCTTCGTTACACTGACAGAAAATTACAAGTTAGCGAAAAGAAAAACAACTCCTCATTGATCCCAAAATGGATGATCCTCTTTCAAATAGCTTTATTTGACTGTATTCATTTTGTGACTTCATTGGGGGTAACATTTGATAGTCAAAGGAAGGGCCGGAGTGGAGCATTCTTCTCCGGGGGGAAGCTATAACTTCAAAAGAAACGTATACCAAAAACCAATCAAATGTATGCTAAGATATCACACCACTGTATTTACATGAATACCAACAAAAATAATTTAAAACTTTCTGAAAAGTGTTTTCAGTCTGCAATCCCACGTTGTGGTGGGATGTGGTTTACAAATTACCGTAAGTATAAAGTTGCTTTCAGCTGGTAATGGTACTATCGTTTGCATTNGCTTTTTGCGCCCCAGGGCAGAGCAGAGTGGAAACATATTACGGGTCCTAAAGGCAGTCTTAGTTTGCAACAGCACTGCACATAGATGACAAGTATGCTAGCTTTTTAGAGAAATTCCAAGTCGAGAGGAAGAGAATGCAACCTTTCTTATTGTGTGAAATACAAAATAAAGCAGGACCTATTGCCTTGAAGATAGCTTTTAAAGCACAAGCAGGAACAAATGGCCTCTGGCATCAAGATTATTGTAATTGATGCAGTCAGTAAATGTCATATTTTAATTTGTGAAAGTATTTCTTCTCAGAAACATCCCTCTCATCATCTTTCCAAACATCCAGGTAGCTTAATTTTTTTTTTCTTAAATTAATGCAGAATATGCTATTTTTGGGGTATTCTTTTCTTATTTTTTGTTATTAAAAAAAACAGTACAGAGGCTCTTCAAAATGTTGTTTATTGGACATGGTTCTCCAAATTTAAATAAAAAAAACTGCAAACTGATAAAGACAGAAGCCAAAGTATTTTTACTATATTCCTCTTTATGAATGATAATTCCTAATGTATAACATAAATAACAAGAAAGAAGAGAAAGTACCTGCTGTGTATCATGTTATTTTCTGATTTACAACATCTAGAGGATTGTGACATGAAGAGAGAAGCCATTTATTCCATTATGAAAAAACTAATTTTGTCACACAGAGACATTTCCACTCCTCAGCGGAAAATGTGCGCCTTCATATTGGGGAGTTCTGCAGCATGTTACATTAATTATTTCCCTTTCAAAAAGACAAACCTGTAGCAAAGCAAGGAAAACACACCCACAACCTCCCATTCCTAAAGTGAACCCTGCTCCATAAGACAACGCACCAGAAAAAAATCACTTTGAAAGAAGTCCCTAAATGCAACGGCGTGTGGGAATGATCCATAAAAAAGCAGGTGGATTCACTTTACCAATTAAGTGATTTCTGGAGTCCATTTGAAGGACTGTTGATTTTAGTTTTTTGGATGGCATAAAAAAAACACAGAAAACTTTTATATAACATGACAAAATGTGCAAACGTTACGCATTTGCGATTTTAAATAAAAAACAAAATATTTGTCCATTATGCACAGCAAAAAACACTTTAAGGGTTTTAATGAAGCAGTAATGATACTGTCCGACCACTGACAGATGAGCAAAATGACCTTTAATGAACTATGCATGAGCTACTGGGTAGAAGTGCTTTATTCCTCAGTTGTTTTCATGTTACTTGTGCTTTCTCTGGCCATTGTTCAAAAAAAGCAAGCAGGCCACTCCCATTAAGCACTTAAAAAACACTCCCATCACTGGAACATTAATCAGCCCATGAAGACGAGATAAACCTCAGCCCAGCGTTTCGTTTAGACCATTTTCTTTTTCTCTTTTCCCATTGTGGAAAAGCAGGATGAGTGAACATTGACTACATATGTCCCTTGTGGTGCTGTCACATGCTTGATGTGGGGGGTGGGCAACAGTTTACGCTCATCATGTGTTTATGCTTGCAAGCTGGATGCTGCAGAGTGATTGAGTCACTGCTGAGACCTAATCGTGTTTGTAAACAATTAGGCAGCATTTAACAAGAACAGACCAGGCATGCATGTGTATGAAAACATTGAGTTCTATCTTTCCCAGAAGCAACCAGCAAGGGTTGGTGTTTTGCATGCAATTTGCATACCCAACCTGAAGCAGTGATGGCCAGTTTTTACTATCAGCAGCTCTGAACTTGCATGTCTTTGTGTTTTGGTTATGGCCATGGGAGGTAACACGCAACTTATTCAGTAGCCAAGCATTTCTCTAAGTACTTATTAACAAACACTGGTCTAGTCTTGCTCAGGGGGAAAGGAGTTGCGTATTTACAAAGAAGGTGTTACAGATTAAAAACCATTTCCACTGTAGCAAGTAATCTACAAGTTGCATATTAGAAGCTGTTGCAGCTTTGAAAATAAAAAGGAATTCTTGACATTTCATGCTGGAGGTTTTCAAGGCCGATAAAACATGCAACACAACACACCTCCAGGCTGGAATGTCTGAGATACCCGAAAATATCCCAGTGCATTAACCTAACTACGTCAGATGATAGTAATACTAGTGAGTAAATGGCCCCGATTGTCCACGGCTTGGCTTTAAGTGGAAGGAATTTCAGATAGACAGATTATCACATTCACAAGTCTGCCTGTTCTGGACACCATCTCATGACTCTGTTTTCTGGCTGAAAAAGTGTTTGTCTGGTTGTTTTTAGGTTGGTTCACAGGGTGAGACACAGGGTGAGAAAGGCTCACAGCGCTCCTCTCTTGCCTACAGGCCAATTTTTCCCTCCCTCTTGTTGTTTATATAAAGTTCTGTAACCAAACCCCACTCTTTACTCCCTTAATATTGCAGCTGCTGATCATACATCCACACGGGTCTCTGTGTAAACACGGGCCTTTGCTCTTAGTGAAAAACAATGAGTAAAGGACAGGATAGCCGGGCTACATTTGAAGATATTCAAGGATGGATTTCCAAATGAAACAGAGGTGACATCATTGTGAAGTCATCTAGCAGGGAATATGGAGGTGGGCCCAGTAATGCAACACCATACATAAACAACAGGCAACTGTATTTATAGGAGATTGTCTCATGGTTCTATCTGCCTCCATAAATCCTATTATCTGATTTGCAGCCATTCGGCTGCCCAGCACCCAACAGGAGGAACAGCTTGGTGTGGTCAAAACACTCAGACTGTGTGCATTTATCACCCCTGTAATGTCTTGGCTAAGAAAAACCATCACATATTTGCTTGATTAGACATTACATCATTAAAGCCTGATAATGCTAAATGAGCATCAGAAAGCTTTTCAGTCATAGCTGTCTTGCATTAATCAGATCTAATCCAAAATAATGATAGGACCTCTGCTTTGTAAGAATAAATATGCAGAAGCAGAGGCGTAGCCAGAAAATCTTTTTAAGGGTGGCCAGGCAATAACCAGTAACCAGGGAGAGGGGGGCTGAATATGGATAGGCACCAGAACCTGAGGGTCAATCTACGCTGTTCCAACAGGAAAATTAATTAGCAAAACATCCATATTTTCTAAATAAAGACAAACTATACTTTCCTACAGCCTTAATTTCCTTTAGCCAAATAGATGCATACATTTAAATATCCATGCTTTCTAGATAGATTTTAAAGTGGATAAACCTTTTCTATTGCCATTACTTATCTGTGTTTATCAAAATTGTAATTTACAAGTACTATTTTCTACATAAATTGATTACTTAATAAGTTTTTATTAAAATAGTGATTTATCTATGATTTCACTGAAGACTCCCAGGCAAGGCAAATGTATTTGTATATCACAATTCAGTACAAAGACAATGAAAAGTCATTTAAATAATTAAAATATAGGAAAATAAAACATAATCAAAGCAAGTAGGAAAAAAAAGACTCCTAGATGAATGCAAAGACACATAAATTTCTCTTTACCCCATAAAACACAAAATCTAGTTCTGAAAAGAGCAGGAATTCTGTACTCAGCATCTTTAATGTTAGTATATTGATGTGCATAATTAACCGCAGTGTTTTTTTTATCAGGTAATTATAAATATATAAAAAAAATAGTAAGTAATAGATGAAAAAATTGAAATGTTTTGAATATTCCACTTGATTATTAGAGGGGTGGGGGCACCCCTGACCCCCCCATCTAGCTCCGCCCCTGTGCAGTAGGAGATCTAGTGAGATGCACCTGCTCCACTCATCTAAGATGCAGGTGAAAACAAAAACACTGTTTGGCCCAAAGAAAACAGGTGGGTTACCTCTGTGCCAAACTTCTACACAGACTCAAAGTAAAGCGGAAGTTTGCTCCACTCACATATCTCCTCAGCTTTTTCTCCGGGGGTGATTTCCTCAGCCAGCCCTGAAAGATGATTTCTCCTCCGCTCATGGTTGCGCTGCTGTCGCTCCTTCCTTTAGAGTGGCTCTCAGAGTGCAGTCAGCCAGGGATACATGATGGTTCAAAGCGCTGCTGCGGCTTCTCTGCTGCTCTCCGCTCCCCTCATTTCAAATCAGAGCATGGGACAAGGTCGCTCCCTGTCCCAAATAATATGCCGCACAAAAATAAATAAATAAAAAGAAGCAATAGCAAGAAGAAATGGAAAGTAGGCACGACCCGGCCGGGTGACGGTAATCCGCAGGAGGAGAGCTAGAGAACTGATGCGGGGCGAGGAAGTATCTGTGGGCGTCTGCAGTTTGTTTTCCCAACTCATGCCACGCCCACTCAGGGAGAGGGATGGGCTGCTGGGATGGGACTATAGCTTGCAGATAATAACTAAAAAATAGGAAGCTCATCTGCATAAAATAAAACCTTACATCACAATAACTGAAATAATAAAAAACACTTTAAATAAAACTTAAGATTATGCATATTTCAAAAATATTTATAGGTGTCATAGAGGTTGCTGTATACCTTCCACCAACTACACCATTGAGTTTCTCAACATCCTAAATAACACTAAAGTTTGGAGTTTTATCAGTAACCTACTTATTGAATATAGCATGTCATGCTTTTATTAGATAAATAGGGAAAAGGCACCACCTTGTGGTGGATGAAGCTGCTTGAAAAACCCCACATATCATAATCCTTCAACTTTTACTTTTTTTTTTTACTTTGAAACCTCAGTCTTAGGTGTGTTTTTAGGGGGATCTTTTAGATCAGAACACAGAGTAAGGCTAAGCAGGTTCCTTTTCTCCGATACCCGGAAATAAAATCCAGTGCTGCTAATTTTAAAATATTTTATTCTAATTTTGAATGCAACTTTTTCTATAAAGTCGTAAAGACCTTATAGGCTCAAAATGCTTCATGTAGACCAGAGGTACTGCATGGGGGGTCATGAAAGTTTTGGTTGATTAAACTTTTTTTATATATTCCCTCCAGCATTTTTTTCCAGTAATTGAAATGTCTTTAAATAAACATTAACATGAATTCAACACACTGTATTAAACAGATAAATGGAGGCAGAAGATGTCTTTCAGTCATCAATGCTCACATTCAGTGACACACAGGAGCTCTTTCAAGCTGGGCACCGTTTCATTCACAACACCTGTCCCATCAACCAGGAATCAGAATCAGAAATACTTTAATAATCCCAGGGCGAAATTACTTTCGTTACATTACCCTGTATCTAATAGAGTCACTATAAGACCAGTTTGATATAACACAATTTCATACAATATATATACAATTAGGGGGTCCTCGCTCCATCTCGTCATCAGTTTGGGGGGGGGTCCTTAGCCTGGAAAACTTTGAAGACCCCTGATGTAGACCAAGAAACTTTGAATACATTTTGGAATATACTTTTGCAAAGATTTTAAACAGGTTCATGTTTGAAGACAATAGAAAAACACATATTTAGAAATCTTTATTTATTTTAATCACTTTAAAGTTCAAATAAATTCAGTTCTGTAGCATCCTAAAAACATTGTATCTAAAACTTAAGCGAAACATTTAGGTACTGTAGAAGAACGTAAAGGGTAAGCATATTTTAAAGGTATGCTTTACTGTTGGGTATCAAAAATAAATGAGAAACCGACCAAAATATTAAACAAAAAATGTTTAATAGAAAAGAAAATATTGGCATTGGACAATTTAAGAAAAAATCATAAATTGTTAATGTAAAAATAAACAAAACACAAAGTGACTCTGATGTTTTAATATATCTCTATAGCATGCATGAATGTGAAAATCTTGGGAAAGGAATCACATCTTTTATATTGTCAACTCCTAGAATGCACTGCAGGTATCGTTCAAATCCCAGTCCAAAACCTCCATGGGGGACGGAACCGAAACGTCTTAAGTCCAGATACCTACAAAATAAAAGACACATAAAAACATCACCTAAACGTCCATCTTTTAATACTGGTAATACAAATATACTGCCATTATATTGTGCTTTTACCAGCTGTAGGTGTCCTCTAATCCAGCCCTAAAAAGTAAAAAAAAAAAAAGACCTTAATTATCATGTATAAAAAAAATATATATAATAATATCAGCACTGCAAATAATACATTTTAAACATGTGGCTCCAAGCATTATAGGAATATAAAAAAAACTTTGCAGGAATACAAATTGTAAAACAAAACTGGCCAAGATACAGTTTTGTTGGTCATGCCCAACTTGGTTGGTTTTTATCAAGGGTAAACTGAACACACCATAAACACCATTATTTAGTTTGTGCAAGCTAAATAAACACCAACACTTTGTTTTTTACACTAACTAAAGCAAGAACACGGTGGTAACCAGTTTCAGTATTGGTAACGGATCTGAAGAAAGGTCAGAGGAAGCTAAGATATACGGTATATATAAAAAAAATTTTTTTTTGAAAAAAAACAAACTTAATAATCATTTTATCTGAGTTTTATTCAGATTGCAAGAGTGTAAGAGATCAGTATATGACATGATGGATAAATGCATTATATACTCTATTCTATGCCTCAACTTTCAGGCTCTGTGATGAAACAGGCTGGGTTTGTAAATCTAAGCAGCCTTTTTGAAATGTCAGATTAAATGTCATAATCTACATTATGTTATTTCTATGTGTGTCACAATTGCCTCTGACTTCACATGATAAAGTCACATTAACATGACAAAAAAGGGCAGAAAACTATTTTTTATTGCTGTTGGATCGTAGTTGCTAAAGAGAACTGCCACGTTAGATGAAATATCAGCAGAAACTTCTGATGGGTGCATCCCTTTCTCTCTGTGATCTGCTCCTTAGTCTACTCTGCTTTTAAAACATTTATATGCATTAACGAGCAGATTTTCCTTTCTTTATGCATTCTTACTGTTTCAGCCGAGCCATGAGCAGATTCAGCCTCTCCTCTCTTAGCGAGCCCCCGCAGAGCTCTCCAACTCCTGGCACAAGAAGGTCCACTGCAGCTGCCTGCACACAAACAGGAAAAACTCAGCTAAAATATGCCAATCCTTGCTGCGGCCTAACTGGGAATACAGGGGAAGAAAATCAGCTGCATAACCACGGTGCTAACCAAGCTCCTCAGTGCCGCACAATGGCAGCCCTCTGCTCCCCAAGGGAAAAGGTTAAATGCAGAGAGTTGATTTCGTTGCTCTGTACTTGTGACAGTGTAATGACAATAAAAAAAACATCTGGAGAAAAAAAATACAATATAAAACCACTTCTTACTGTATGCCTGGGATGGTCCTGATTATCTCTTGCATAAAAAGGCTTCAGGTCATAGGGATAATCTGTGACGAAGACCGGAAGATTTCCACAATGTTTTACCAGATGCTTCTCATGCTCCGTCATTAGGTCACAGCCCCACTATAGAAAAGCGCTAAGGTGAGTGAGGACATCTGTGGCAGCAGATAGAAGCTGCAAAGACGCTTTATATAAACTATTCCACTTACATCTGTGGGGAAGGTAAATCTCTCCGAGCTGCGGTTTAGGATGTCTATAGCCTCAGTATAAGTAATCCTTTAAGAAGACAGTATCACACAGTCAACCTTGGGGCCTTGACTTTATTTTCCGATGATTCAGTTTTATCTGAAACAAAAACACTCACACAGGGAAGCTCTTGTTCAGCATGGCCTCTACGGCGTCCTTGAATTAGATGGATTCAGCAAAAACAAAATGTTATCAGAAGTTATTATAAGGTCAGGTGGAGCCAAAACAGTTTGGAGTAAAGATCCAGGTTATGAACGCCCTCCAGGACTCACCCTGTGTCCTGGAGTCACATGTCGGTGAAACAAATCCACGTCCTCCACACAGCGGGCCATCACATGCTCGGTGGCAGACCTGAACATGTCCTCCATGACCTAAACACCAGGCCGGGTTTAATAATTAAAGTTTGCATGTGTGACTGTTAACAAGAGTAACTTTAAAAGTCATGCCGGGCATTTTTTTCTTTTTAAATGCATGTTATTCTGCTTTTCTTCAGAGGAAGTGTTTAATTGACAAGATTTTTTAACCTTGCTTCTAAACTTTATAGAAACTAAATGTTTTTAGACAAAATGTGAAAACTTTTCCATCCATGCATTTTAAAGTGTTCTTAGTTCAGGGTGGATGGATGATCCGTACAACTTCAAATATTATTCAAAACATTCATTTGGTTCACAACATGAAGCTTAATGCAACTTTGATCTAGTGCGTTTCCACTTTATACAGAAATTTAAATTATATGCATCATGTAGGTGAAAGCAAACCTCAGACCGTTGCGGCCATCGAAGCGATTTTTTAAAAGCTTTTCTATGAACCAAGTTCATTTGGATTCATAGGATTGTAATCAGGGCTTTGAGCAGTTAGGCCGCCTTGCAAAAGTAGCTCTGGCTGATTTTTCCAGTCCAGTTGGGATTCTGTACGTCAATGTTTCCCAACTCTTTTTGACTTGCGTGACTATTTTACTTAAAGCTACAGTGTGTAACTTTTAGCGACATCTAGCGTTCAGACTGCAGACTGCAGCAACATGAACATCTCCCCCCCACCGCTTCTCCCCCCCAACAGTACGGCGAGCGTTACGGGACAAAATGTCTTCCACGACGTCCGCATCACCTACCTTCTCAAGTGATGAGGTTTGTTTACATAGATAATTTTAAAGATAGTATTTCATTAGTCTGTGTAGGGTATAGATTTCATGTAGACTTAAGATAATAAATATACCCGTTATTTTTTCTACATCGTTGAGACATTTTGGCGATCTCGCAATCGCTAGTTTGTTGGCTCTGCGCTGCCGTAGCGCAAAGATGTCTGCCTCCATGGCTGCGAGACCCGCTCCTATGTAATTATAAATAACGAATTCTAGGGCAACGCAAATATTAAGGTTAAGAGGCTGAGCTCGTAGATGATGATAAATAACATAGTTATGTATAATATATTACATTTCTGACTGTATATCCCTGTAATTATTACACACTGTAGCTTTAAAAAGTTTTACTTCGTTTTCTTTAAGACACCTGAGCTGCTTTGATGAGCTCCGATAGCTCAGTGTAAAAAAAACAGGCTGTTCTCTACATCCAGTCTGTTCCTCTAATTGGTATTTTTGTGTCACAGCTGAAGGTGAACTCAAACATATAAGAATAATGTACTTTTTGGTTGATAAAAGCTTGTTTAATTTTTCAATTACAAAGCAAATCAGATCCAAGCCCTATTTTATTTTATTAACTAAGAAAAAAAATATTTTCATGTACCCCTTGCAATGTACTCG